CCTCAGTGCCAACGAGGTCGACAGCAGCAGCAGAAGCAACAGAGGGGAGAAGGGGGACGGGGGAGCACCCCTCAAAGAAAGGGGCGCGAGGGTCGCCGCGAGAAGCACCTACAGCAACAATACTCTTCTCTGCTGCAGTAAGGCGCTCCTCAAGCAGGTCGACGGTGAGCTCAGTGGGGCAAAGGGAGAGAAAGTGGTCCCTGACTGAAGAGAGAGAGTAAGGGAGACGGGTGACTAGGTAGTAGAGAGTGATGTACATGGGGGGGGGGGTTCTTGGCACAGAACTCAGTGGGAAGTGCAGCGCGGTAGCGGGTGTCACTAGTGCGGAGGTGAGTAATGAGGTCAGCGACTGTGGCAAAGGCAGCAAGGTCAGGGAACAGGTACGGCAGCATGAGGCGGCTGAGAGCAGCAGTGGCAGGGGAGGAGTAGCGCGCGACAACAGCGTCATACAAAGACTTTGCAGTCTTGTACTGGCCAAAGTGCGCGCGCTCAGCAGACGGCAGGTGACTACGAACAGCAAGACGAGCAACAGCGTCACGAGTAGTCCACTGCGAGCGAACCGTACTGTCAGCAGTGGCAACGGACGTGTGATCGAACAGGGAGACTCCGTCCTTGGAGTCGCGCTGGAGAAACAGCTGTAGGTCGTCTACCCAAACCTCGAAGTCAACAGCACGACCCTCAGCATCAAAGGTAAGAACAGTAGGACTAGCCATAGCAGCAGAAGCAGCAGTAGCAGCAGAAGCAGCAGAAGCAGCAAGGGCAGGGCAGTGCGGCTCACTAGGGCGGCGCGGCTCGACTGGGCGGCTCGGCTCGGCTGGGCGGCGCGGCTCGGCTGGGCGGCGCGGCTCGGCTGGGTGGCGCGGCTCGGCAGGGCGGCGCGGCTCGGCAGGGCGGCGCGGGTGCTTACCAAGGGCGGGTGCAGGGCAGGGCCGCAGCTGGCGATTAGGTCAGGACCGCGACTGGGGCGGCAGCAGGGCAGGGCCGCGACTGGGCGGCGGTAGAGCAGGGCCGCGACTGGGGCGGCTGCAGGGCAGGGCCGCGACGGTGAGGCCGCGACAATGAGGCCGCGACGGCGGCTGCAGGTGCGTCAGCGGCAAGGCAGGGCCGCGACAGGTGCTGCAGGCGCGACGGCGGCTGCAGGGCAGGGCGCGCGACGGGGCCGCGACGGTGGCTGCGATTAGGTCAGAGGCCGCGACTTGGGGCGGCAGGGCAGGGGCGCGACGTAGGGCGGCAGGAGAGGGCCGCGATGGGCGGCAAAGCAGGGCCGCGACAGGCGGCAAGCAGGGCCGCGACGGGCGGCAGATTAGGTCGCGACGAGCGGCGACAAGGCAGGGCCGCGACGGGCGACTCAGGCAGGGTCGCGACTAGCGCGACAGCAGGGCAGGGCGCACGACGGCGCAGGAGAGGCAGGCGCGACAGCGCGCTTCGGGCAGGTAAGACAGTTTCAGTGGTGGGCCCTAAAAAAACGTTCCCACGGAGGGAACCTGCTCAGAATACCATGTCAGAATGAGAACGAAGGAATGACTGAACTAGAAAGCAGGTGGGTACAAGTAGGAAACCCAAAAGTGTTGTACCCTATATGAACTACCCCACTACAGCCTACACAGACTATAGCATATAAGTTTGACAGATCAAGCATTTAAACTTGGAGAAAAAATACAGAGATGATAATATCCAACAGCCATGCACAATGACATATGTTCATGCAAACAATGCACGCATGAATAGCACGAGCACTCGGCAGGACGTTAGGATGACATGCACTCATAATGACGTGCATCCAACACAGCATGCAACTGTAATAATGTGTGCAGCCTTCTCGCCCCACACACAAATTCAACACAACCTACTGAAGTCGGATCAGCGAAAACCACCGTCTGGTAACCTCACCTCAGAAACCCTACTTTCCGTGAAACTGACTGACTTAGCCTTTTAGTTGGCTTATGCGACTCGCCATTATCTGCCAATTTCGTTTTTTTGTTAGTTTGTATTTTTTGTTAAAACAAGTCATCACAGGAGGCACCTGACCAACGATCAGTGCCATGTGCAACAGGCAAGGCGAATGTGTTGCCGGAGCTGGCTGGAATTGCGGTGCTTTTTGTCGTACGGAGGAGCCAATCATATTATGAGCCAAAATTATGTGCTGTAATATCGTATTGATGCATAAATGACACGAGCCAGTGGATCCACAGTGAAACTTCATACGAACAGTGGGTAAAAAACATTGGCCCTGTTCTACAGGCAGACGGGCACGGCGTGGAAACGGAAACACAGGAACCCTCGTGGTTTTTTCTACTTTGCCTCGTCACGCAGAACCAACTCTGGAAACCTCCGTAGACTCTGTCAAGAGTTTCGTGTCAAAGAGGAGGAAACGAGAGTCCCTCCTACTGTATTGTTCAAGAGTGTAGTACCCTAGACAATTCTTGGTTTGAAGGTCTTCCATGTAAATTAAAGAACTAGATCGACAAAAGCTAAGTCACAATCAAACCAAACCCTCGAATGAGTTGGGCTAGTATTGATGTCCGAAACGAGTGGCACCTTCTAGATCGAGTACTAATAAACATGCAAATATGCATTGCAGAGGCATAGAAAAGGTTGTCTCTAGAAACATGTTTCTGTTTTGAGTCCACTGTGCCTCCCATGAAAAGGAGGTTTCACTTGGCGTGGAAACAGAAACTAATATTGCCAGGGTTGGAAGATGGGTACTCACCTTCCATTTCGTTGTATCCGTTTCCACACCAGGTCTGTTCTGCGGTAACATGTTTCCGTTTGGCTCGGACGGAAACAAACAGGTTTGATAGCCTTTTTCGGGCCGACCCTGCCATCGAACCTAAATTGACTGTCGACTGAAGCACCCACGAGGATTCTCGCTATGGAAACACTTGCCTGTAGAACAGGGCCATTCTTTCAGTCCATGATCATTGCCGGTTTCCTACTACCGTCCTGCTCTGAGTCCGCCCAACCTCAGGTTCACAGGCGCTATCACGTGGGTGGTGTGGATCCCAGCGGAGCAACTCACGAACGAATCACGCTCATCCTCACAGTCGAATCAAAGTCCTCACGCCCGCGTTTCTCATGCCCGGGGCGTTCGCCCACCGACCCTGGCAGGGTTTCGTTTCCACTGGAGGCTCTGTGACAGCTCTGAAGACCACGTGGTATTTTTGACAGTCACGGAACTTGAGGTGCATTGCCTCAACAGCTTATCAAGAATGAATGGAGGCCGAGCTGATGCTAGTCACTACAGTACTAGTACTGAGCCATGTCCTAGCACTGCTGGAGTCATTCTTTTGCTTCATTTTCCATGTCTGAGAATGCTCACGACTTGTAGAGGGCCTTAACCGCAAGCTGGTGCCTCAACACTAACTTTCTGTGCGAGTGCTACCACCCTTCCTACCAAACCCCTCGGCTGTCTGGAGTGCACTTCTGGGTAACCCTCATTCCCGGGAGGTCGATTCTAGTTGTCATAACGAGTGGCACCCACGAGCTGTCTGCGAGCAATTATGCCCGGAGTTGCCTGCGAGTTATCATTTCCATGATGGAAATGGCTTTGAATTTGGCCACACCGAGTTGGCACTTGACGAATCCTCAGCAAGCAACTGCCAGTGGCCCTCAGCAGGAGTGGCGCGGCTGTGAGCCTCAGTAGCACCGGCAGGAGCTTGGGCTGCGGGGGTTGGAGGCGGCGGTGGCGAAGGTGGTGGCCTCCGATGGGCACAGCTGGCTCAAGTACGACCAGAAAATATTGAACCAGTCCAGTGCCACCAGGTCAGCCTCGCGTTGACTTATGTTGACCGTGCCTGACTTTTGTGACTCCCTGCTCTGCTGCTCGCCCCGTTAGGTCTGGTTGCGCATTGTGTCACCCCTTGTCCACTTCTTTTGACTAGAACAGAACCCTGCTCGCTCTGTCTGCCCTTGTGCTCTCCTCGCACTGGCAGGTGCTACTACAAGTGCAGTCTTGCCAAGGCCATCCCTCGCTGCCCTGCCAAGAAGACTGTCGACATCAACGGCCCCAACTCAATTCACGTCACCTACAAATGCCGACTCCACAACCACCCAGGGGCTCCCAGCCGGCGTTCGACCCTTTACCCTTACGTCCCCATTATCAACTGCCCTGCTGACCAAAACATCAACCTTCCGGCTTCACATGGAACGGCTGGCGCCACAACACCTGATGCCATTCGACTTGCAGCTTCTTATGTCAACCTGGAGGCCTTCTTGCGAGCCTTGCAGCACGAGAGTGTGGGAGTGACTACTGGTGGCAGTGCTTATGCTGGTTGTTCTGCTTTGCTTCTGATGGTGGTGCTTCTGTTCATGCTGCTGCTGGTGCTTTTGATGCTGCTGCTGGTGCTGCTGCTGCTGCTGCTGCTGCTGCTGCTTCTGCTGCTGCTGCTGCTGCTGCTGCTGCTGCTGCTGCTCATGGTGGTGACGGTGCTGCTGACGCTGCCGCTGCTGCTTGTGCTGCTTCGGCTGTCGCTGCCGCTGATGCTCCTGGTGTTGGTGATGGTGCTGGTGGTGGTGGAGGTGGTGCTGGTTCTCCTGCTGCTGCTGCTGCTGCTGCTGCTGCTGCTGCTGCTGCTGCTGCTGCTGCTGCTGCTGCTGCTGCTGCAACTGCTGCTGCTGCTGCTGCTGCTGCTTCTGCTTCTGCTTCTGCTTATGGAGATGGTGGTGCTGCTGATGCAAACTGGGCTGCAGCAGCCCTCTTGCACTCTCCCTGTCAGGAAGAGCAGAGACACATCCATAAATGGCTGCGTACGTGGAGCCTTTTATCCGTGTTCCCCCTGCCGACCCACCTCCAACCATCTGCTCTGCAGCCAGCTGGCCGTATCCTCCCTAGTGGCTGCTCCACTGAATTCAACAAAAACACTGCTCCTGACACATGGCGGCCTACAGTGCCTGAGGAAACGCGGACCATCTATCAAGGAGAAAGTGAGAGCTATCATCTGCATGATGAGAAGGAGGGTTTCCTGCATGATGATTACTCGCAGTTGGGAGCAAGAGCGCCTATGGCCCAGGAGCACCAAGAGCATCTACCTCGGAGCAGTCTCAACCATGTGGGACCTCTATCAACTTATTATGAAAAGTCAGCAACATATCATAAGGAGGAGCAGGCAGCAGGTTGTGTGAGGAACATCGCAGAGCATTCCTTCCTTACAAGGGAAGGCGGAAATGAGGGGCCAGTGGATGGTCGTTCAGCAGCTGTGCTGGCAAGACTGCTGAGGCCTCTTGTGGGTGCTGCTGCGGCTGAAGGCTGGGCTGCTCTGGCGGATGGCTGTGCTCCTGTGGCTGATGGCTGTGCTGAGTCCCATGCTCCTGAGATCGTGACCCACTGGGCTACACCGATGAGGCCTGTGGTGTGTGCTGCTGAGTGTGACGGCTGCGCTGATGTGCTGATGGTTGTGCTCCTGTGGCCGATGGCGCTGCTGCATCGCATGCCCGTGGAAGTTTTACACACTGGGCAGCACCGACGAGGCCTGTGGTGGGTGCTGCTGTACCTGATGGCTGTACTGCTGTGACTAACGGCTGTGCTCCTGTGGCTGATGGCTGTGCTGCTGTGACTGACGGCTGTGCTCCTGTGGCTGATGGCTGTGCTGCTGTGGCTGACGGCTGTGCTCCTGTGGCTGATGGCTGTGCTGCATCCCACGCTTCTGGGAGCTTAAAGCAGAGGGCTATACCGATGAGGCATGTTGTGGGTGCTGCTGTACCTGATGGCTGTACTGCTGTGACTAACGGCTGTGCTCCTGTGGCTGATGGCTGTGCTGCTGTGACTGACGGCTGTGCTCCTGTGGCTGATGGCTGTGCTGCATCCCACGCGTCTGGGAGCTTAAAGCAGAGGGCTATACCGATGAGGCATGTTGTGGGTGCTGCTGGGGCTGATGGCGCTCCTGTGGCTGACGGCTGTGATCCTGTGGCTGAAGGCTGTGCTAATGTGGCTGATGGCTTTGCTGCTGTGGCCGACGGCCCTGCTGCTGTAAATGATGGCTTTGCTGCAGCCCATGAGCCTGGGAATCTGGACCAGTGGGATGAGCTGCAGATGGTTTTTGGGTTGACTCACATCAAATCTTGGACAGATAGCTGTACTGCATCTGGTGCTCCTGGAATTTTGACCCATGGGGATGTGCCGTCGCTGTGGCAACAACAGTAGGAGTAGGAGGAGCAGCAGCAGGAGGAGCAGCCGCAACAGCAGCAACAGCAGCTGCTACAGCAGGAACAACCGCCATCGATGCACCAGCAACTGCAACCCGATCAGCAGCAACATCAAGACCAACAGCATCCATCGTAGAACTTGACGGCTTTGCTGCTGTCGTTTGCGGATTCCATCAGAGAGCGCCCTGCCCAAGACATTCTAGAGACCATATCTGCTGCTATGCCTGCTGCTCTCTCCAGCCCAAGAGTCCCTGCCTCACAATTTCTCACAGAAAGCCCCTGTAAGATGTCAAGTCAAGCAGGCATTGCCTTGCGCCACGCAGCCGAAACATGGACTCCTCATACGCTTGAAGCTAGGCCTTCTCGAAAGCTTTATAAGAGCATTGCCTCAGCCCTGGGCACACATCTGCCTGCCTCCCCTCCCTGTGCTCGTGCTAGTGCAAGTAACCATGCCTCATGGGTTCAAAAGGAAGAGAAGTCTGAGGAGGTGTATGCTATGGGTGCAGCTTGGGGTGAGCCTACTCTCTCCGCCTACAACGGCATCTGTGCCCGTGCATCCACCTCTGCCCCTGACTGCACATGTGCGCATAGAGAGGGTGAAGCGCCTGCGGAGCCATGTGTCTTGAGAAGTCGTGTGCCGCCCACCATCGTGGAGCCGCCCACCCTCGTTCTGCCGCCCACCATCATTGAGCCGCCCACCATCATTGAGCCGCCCACCACCTTTGTGCAATCAGCCGCACAGCCCTGCGAGGTGGAAGATCCAACACTGGTCACAACACCCACAACGCCCATAGCACCCATGCCCACACCCAGGACCAGCAGCACTGATTCTGACAGGCCACCCAGCACCTTCTGCACGCACCACAACAAGGCCTGCCGCACCGGTTTCAAGCCCTGCAGAACCGGTTACAACCCCTGCAGCACCAGTTACAACCCCTGCAGCACCGGTTACAACCCCCGCAGCACCGGTTACAAGCCCTGGAGCACCAGTTTCAAGCCCTGCAGCACAAGTCACACAGAGGTTGATGTAAAACGCCACAGAAAGCACTTCCTTCCTTTACTTGCTCACCCACCTGGCAACACAATCAAACGTCAATACAGAATGGGTGAGGACCACATTCCCAGTGCATCAGTTGCTCTATCCCCTTCTGTCCAAACACCAATCCTTGCCAATAGCCTACTTGGAGCAGCAGTCATGGCTGATAAGGGTGTGTGTTATAGTCACAATAGGCTTGAATGTGCCTAAAACGAAAGATAGAGAGCACAGACGGATTTCTGCACAGCGGCTTCAAACGTTGATAGCGTTCTGCTCACAGCTGCAAATGACTTGATTCAAATTGGATCTGGAGCGTTTTCACGTCGTCTACAATTAGCAATTTATATTGCACGATTTGATAAAGAATTGACGACACAGCGTCGGTTTGAACGAACGGTACTATGGCAGCCACTATAGTCTTAGAACACAAGATAGGAAGAGTTACGAGTTGGGAATGACTCCTAGCTCCTACAAACCCCAAGAGCCGAGGTACAGTGATGTGGAACAGTGCCACACTGTCCCCAACCACGAAGGGTCTCGAAACTACCCTTCACTAGGGCCTACACCAAGTGAAATGTTACACTACACAAAGTAATGTAACTATCTTCAATATCTTGAGGTGTACCCTTTTGGCAAGCTTCGAAATCACTTGAGGCTTGACACCAAGGCTCGGGCTCTTCATCACAAACTCATCCTTGAGTTCTTGATGGGTCTGCTGCACACACCTGCGACACGCCGAACGTTCGACACAGGACAAAATAGAAACCGCGCACGACAAAATAGAAACCGCGCGCGAGACACAAACGACCGCGTAACACGCGTCTAGCGATAACTCGCTATTGACTCGACACACACACTCGACATCATGACTCAACATTCACACACAATTATAAGCATGAAATATATATTATCCAATGCCCTCATACCATTCCATACACACACACATTCACGCACACGGACAACAAGCCGAGTGCAAACCGTAGGGTTGCACCAACAGTGTGTACATGCAAGACAGCATTTCCAAGGCTCTCTACCACCAAAGGACTCCAATCTCCGTGTGCCAGTACAATCCACGCAAGCGCCCTCACAGGGTGTTCAGCGTGGAGGCTTGGTGCAGCGAACACCCGCGGGCGAGCACATTTTAGGCCATGCACCCATAGGCCCACTGCATAGAGTAGGCTCAGTCCCGGTTGAAGTGTTCCAAATGCAAGCCAAGCAGGTAGTGGCTGCGTCTTTGATCCCGGCAGAGGTGTTTTCGTTCTTTGGAGGAACCAGCGCTATTCGTGTTTCAGACTTTGCACCGGCAAGCATGCGTAAAGACCTTCAGTCGTGGCTTGATGATGCCGTCCAGGAGGACAGGTTATTCGAGATTTGAGGCGAGATTACGGTAGTAGAAGTAGCGTGGGTTTGCTGCGTGTTTGGTGTCAGAATAAGAATGAGGGAATGTGTGAACTAGAAATGAGATTGGTACAAATAGGAAAACCTAGAAAGCTGTACCCCCTAAGGTCTAACCCACTACAGCCTAAACAGGCTATATCATATATGTTTGAAACACCCCCATAGGCAAAGTGGGGGAGAACAAGGTGTCACAAGACCAGTCAAGAGAAGCAAAGCAAGCTCAGGGTGGATCACGAAGTCACCACGCATTCTGAGCACAAGCAAGTGGCCACAAGGCCAGTTCACATGCAGAGGTTTATACAGGAGAACAAACAATACAGTGATCACAACCTAGCAGGTGTAAGCATGCAGGTATATGTATAGAGATCACAGTACAAGTAGAGTCAAGAAGTAAGCAAGTGAGGCACAGTAGGCACAAGGCCTAGAAAAGTACAGAAACGCTGATGATCACAAGGCTGAAGGGCCTTGGTGAACACATCAGCAGTGTTGGCCCGAGTGGCCACGTAAGCAAGACGAAGCTGACCACGCTGCTGCAACTCTCGAGCAAGAAAGTAGCGTAGAGCGATGTGCTTCGTTCTGTGCTCCTGTCTGTGCTCCTGACACAAGGCAATCATGGCCTTGTTGTCGACGTACAGCACTGGAGGAGAACGAGGCGGCTCTCCAAGGTCGGTCAGCAGGTAGGTGAGCCAGCGTAACTCCTGAGCAGCCATGGCCCCTGCGTAGATCTCAGCCTCACAACTGGAGCTGAGAACAGAAGACGAGCGGGTAGACCGCCAAGAAACAGAGACGGAGCCAAGGCTGAAGGTGTAACCCTGTGACGACCGCTGCGTAGCCAAGTCGTCAGCCCAAGAAGCGTCTGCGTGACCAGTGAGGACAACTGGACCTCGCCCTCCAAGCACGAGCCCCATGCCCGACGTACTGCACAAGTAGCGCAACACCCTCTTAGCAGCATCCATGTGCTCCTTCCTGTGTCGGCCAGGAGCGACATAGCGTGCTAGGATGCTAAGAGGGTAGGCTAGGTCAGGTTGAGTGCAGTTCATCAGGTACATGAGGCAGCCCACAAGCTCTGGATATGGGCCACTCGGCTCTACGGACTCGTCCGAAGGTGGAGCTGAGAGCGAGTGACCGGTAGGCAGAGGAGTGGACTGTGGCGAGGAGTACGTGAAGCGGAAGCGCTGAAGGACCTGCTGCACCATGTGTGACTGAGTCAAGGTAATGGTGCGCTGTGCTCTGTCCCGGGTGATCAGCAAGCCAAGATAGCTTGTCAGCTCACCCAGGTCTGTGCACGTGTGTCTCTTCTGCAGCTCCGACTTCACGTTGGCGAGTGCCTCAGTGTCAGCAGTAGCAAAGACCAAGTCGTCTACGTACACGAGAACATAGAACGGCGGCAGAGTGGTGTCGGTGCGTAGAAACAGCGACGGGTCAGCAGTAGAAGGAGCAAACCCAAGAGCAGCAAGAGTCGTCCTCAGTGTGTCGTGCCACTCACGAGGTGCCTGGCGGAGACCGTAGACTGGCCGCCGGAGGCTCCACTGGGTACCTGCAGGAAACGACCCAGTGAAGCCAGGTGGGCGGCGCAGCCAGATCTCCTCGTACAGGCTGCCCTGTAGAAAGCAGTGCTGAAGTCAAGAGAGTGGAGCTCGTAGTCACGCTGAGCGGCGACGTGCAGCAGAACCCGAAGAGTGGTCATCTTCGGGGTAAGGGAGAAGGTCTGGAAGAAGTCAACTCCCTCACGCTGACTGAAGCCTCGTGCAACGTAACGCGCCTTGAAGACAGGCGGAGAACCCGGCGGCCGTTTCACCCTGAAAATCCACATGCCACTGACGATGTTCGCCCCAGGCGGGGGAACCTCGTCGACGTAGGTGCCTGTGGACTTCCAGGAAGCCATCTCTGCGTCCATGGCTGACTGCCACTGAGAGGAGTAGGGACCCTCTATCGCCTCTGCGTAAGAGCGCGGGGTCGGGATGTCTGGTGCATCCGGGTCTCCCTCAGGGGCAATCAGCATGGACACGAGATGACGTAAAGCAGCGGCAAAGCACTCAAAATCCTCCTGTCTGTCCTCAAGGACGTCCGTGCCAAGAGCACACTCACCCCCGACGGACGGAGGACAGACAGACTCAGACTCAGCAACAAGGCTAGCGGCGTAGTCTAGACGACAGGTGGCAGCAAAGTCAACAAGCTCAGCAACTAGAGCAGACGCAGCAGTGGATTCAAAGGAAGGGTCAGTGACAACAGTAGCGAGGAAACGCGTGACAGTAGGACTGGCAGCACGAAGGGAGTCAGGGTTTAGGCAGTGGAGAGGCTGGCTGTAACTGTGACTGCGACTGGACAGGCGGTGGACTCAGTAGGGGAGGAGTCGGACCAGTAGAAGGCGGGAGGCCAAGAACCTGCTGAAGGAGCGGAACGCGAATCGCGACCATGTCAAGCCTCTGTCGGGGGAAACGAGGAGGAGTGAGGAGCAGCGCGCTGCCGCCCTTCGACACAAGGAAGGCAGAGCGAAGCAGGCGAGCGCGGGAGGGCAAGGAGAGACCTGGAAAGACCAGAGACAAGGAGACGGGAGTGCATGCCACGGAGACGTGGTAGGGAGGGGTGACCAAGACGGTGGTGCCAAAGGAGAGTCTGGTGCGACAGGTGGCGACACAAGCAGGGGGCTGAAAGCTGACCTGACGCGGACGCAGACGCAGCTATCTGAGAAGGCTCAGTAGTCAGTGTGTACTGACTCGACCCAAGCCGACGGGTGAACGTGGCCAGGTGACAGCCCGTCCGTGTACACATGCAGATCGACACACGCTGACCCCCAGGAGTTGTGGTAGTGACCATCGCATCCTGAAGGGCAGCTGTACTCACCAAGTTTGTAGAGAACGAGGGGAGGTGAAGACCTGAGAGTGAGCCGGACGGAATCGCCGGACACGGGAGAACAGTGGAGGAAAGTGCAAGAACTGGGCCCCCTGAGGGGTCAGCCAGTCTGACAGCAACAGGTGCAGGGAGTGGTGTGACTGTGGTACTGTCGCGAAAGAAACAGCGGGAAGCACCTGAGTCAAGCATGAAGGTGTGCAAGGCCTCAGCAGGCGCAGTACCAGGGAGAGCAGACTCACTAGCACCTAGAGCAGCAGCCTCTATACCCGGGTCGGGCGGCATACACAGGTAACAGTCACCCTCAGCACTAACAATCAATGCATACATGGCAGCAAGTATAGCATCATAATCAAGAGCAAAGATATCCACACCCTGCCTAAGCAGCTCTGCCCAGCGAGGGAGCTCAGTCGCGTCAGGAAACTCTGTGCGGAAGGCGTCGTCAAGGCGAGAGAAGCAGCGGTGCTGGGTGTGAAGTTTCCCGCATGTCTGACCAGTGCGGCCACCTGTGCGAATGACATACGGGCATCGACCACTACCCCCA